GATCACTTGCCAGTCCCCCCCCCCCGTCTTCGACCTTATCTCAGACGTAATCGACGACCGCCGGCCCGACCTTCTGCCCGACCACTTTTGCGAACTGACCTACTTTGCAGACTGACCTCATAAACTCTAAACTGTAACTAACCAAGTATCTCTGACCTCCGTCTTTCACCACCTTGACGGCGTAAATAAATAATCTTGCTTTGCAACCGATAAGCGTCCGCCTAATTAATTCCACTCCAAGCATCACAAGTACCCGCCTGACAGCTTCTAAGGCCCCTGGACCGACCCTCTGCCGACCACTGCCCGGGTGGGAGCTGGCCGGCTGCCCTGGGTCCCGACACCTTCCAACCCTCATTTTCTCCGATTCTACAATGAATGCCACACCAAATTGGACTTGCCTTCAAATCACTATAGTTTGATGAGAATTATCTGGATTCTAGCTTTTTCCATGAATTGTTTTTGAAATCATCATCATCATCCCCCCAAAACACATACACCTCCCACTAACTCATAACTAGGGACCTACTTAATTTGCAGTTTCACAGAAACTGAAATCCAGGACTGTCCATGAAATCAATTTTTTAAAAAATATTTAACAGAAAAAAGTAGGAGCCAGTAGTTCCTGTTGCTGGGAGGGGAAGGCACCGTCTGGCAGGGCAGCACAAAGGACAGCAGACAAGATGGCAGTTGCCCCCTTGTCCCTCTTCCCCCTGCCAGGGCCTCTCCACCAATCAGCACCAAAGGGTGGGGCTACACAAAGGGCAGTCAGCAATCAATATGGCAGCCCCCCGCTCCCTTGGCCCTTCTCCCAACCATCAATGGCGAGGGGTAAGGCTGCCACAAAACAACTGTGGAATTAGAACTTTACTTACTGGCTTTTGCAGGTTGATCGTGGTGTAGTGATTTAAGTAGACCCTTATTCATAATCTCACAATATTCCTTTTGCATAAGAGATGACCATACAGCAAGTAGAAGGAATCCACTACACTTAAAGACTGACATTTACATCATAAGCAAACTCCCCACCTAATTATGTGGAACTCTGTTCCCTGACAAATGCAGAGAAAAGGCAAGACAAATAGTCAAACAAGAATTACGAAATTTTAAAGTATAAAGTTAAATAAGAAAAATATTTTAAGTTTTGGCATGAGAATGAGATGAAGAATACAGAAAGTTTGCTAAGTTGTTGGCTGCAATTCTTTACAAATGGAATAAATAAATAATTGAAGATGTTTGCTTTTTGATATTATTTATGACCAACTCAACAGGTTTTTACAAAATTAAAAGACTACATTATAGGCAATCATTCTTCAGAACAAAAATATACCATCTGCAACTAACAGCCGACGTGATAATTAGCAATCATTTTAGCAAGACAAGAATCTGAAAGAAGTTTTTGTCTAAACTAATTTTATAGTGCAAATAAGTTAGAAAACATTATAAAATGGTCTGTATATAACCAAACACACCCAACCACACACATGCATCCAAACACTCCTACCCACCCACACCACTTTTGAGATTCCTTTAAAAAGAGGCTGGAATAAGCCACTACCTCTTTCCTCCAAACATTTAAGTCTACTTTCAGCTACAGCATACTGTGCATATCTGTTAAGACTAACACTTTTGTAGTAATGGAAGCCAGTCAGTCAGTCCAGATGTAGTTAGGGATCTTCTGGAAGGACCAGACATTTTTAAATCTGCAGGTCCAGATGCCCTCCACCCAAGGGTGTTGAGGGAGCTGGCAGGGGTCATCACGGAGCCCTTGGCCCAGCTGTGTGAGCATTCATGGTCATCTGGCCAGGTGCCGGGGGATTGGAAACTGGCTAATGTGGTCCCTATTTTTAAGAAGGGGAGGAAGGAGGACCCAAGTAATTATAGGCCTGTAAGCCTCACCTTGGTGCTCGGGAAGCTCTTGGAGAGGATCATCAAGGAGCATATCTGTGGGGGGCCTGCAGGGGAGATCACGCTCAGGGGCAATCAGCATGGGTTCACCAAAGGCAGGTCCTGCCAGACCAACCGGATTGCCTTTTACGACAAAGTAACTAAATCCTTGGATGATGGTGTTGCTGTGGACATAATCTTTCTAGACTTTAAGAAGGCCTTTGACACTGTCTGTCACCCCATCCTCATCAATAAATTAAGTGACTCTGGCATAGATGCCTGCACAGTTGGATGGGTAAAAAAAATTGGCTGAAGAGGCACGCCCAGAGAGTAGAGGTGGACGGGTTGTACACAACCTGGCGAGATGTGAGCAGTGGGGTACCCCAGGGCTCTGTCCTCAGGCCCGCACTGTTTAACGTCTTCATCAGCATGGGGTTCAACGTAGATACATGCAGGGTGCTGCACCTTGGGAGAAGGAATCCACAGCATACATACAGGCTGGGGAGTTCCCTTCTTGAAAGCACAGAGGCGGGAAGGGATCTCGGAGTCATTACTGACTCCAAGATGAACATGAGCTGCCAATGCCAGACCACAGCCAGCAAGGTGTATCTCAAGCCGGTCCAGAGAGGTGATACTCCCCCTCTATGCGACTTTGGTCTGGCCGCAGTTGGAGTACTGCGTCCAGTACTGGGCGCCGCACTTCAAAAGGGATGTGGCCAGCCTGGAGAGGGTTCAGAGGAGGGCCACCCACTTGGTGAGAGGGCAGCAGGACAGGCCCTATGAGGTGAGACTGAAGGACCTGAACCTGTTCAGCCTCAGCAAGAGGAGGCTGAGGGGGGACCTGGTGGCTGCCTACAAGCTCATCAGGGGGATCAACAGCAAATAGGCAGAGCTCTATTCTCCCCAGCACTACCTGGGGTGACAAGGAACAATGGTAATAAGCTGATGGAGAATAGGTTTAGGTTGGAGATCAGAAGGCAATATTTTACAGTTAGGGTGGCCAAAATCTGGAACCAACTTCCCAGGGAAGTGGTCCTCACCCCTACCTTGGGCAAATTCAAGAGGAGGTTGGACGATCACCTGTCTGGGGTCTTGTGAACCCAGCATTCATTCCTGCCTGTGGCAGGGGGGCAGGCTAAACGATCTGTTCAGGTCCCTTCTGACCCTAGCTACTATGAAACTGAAACACTAAGCTATGAAAGCATCAGGATGCTTAAAAAATCTAGTCTTATCTAAAGCAGTACATTCAGGTCAGCTAGTTTTTCATTTATTGAAACAGAAGTTCACAAACATAGAATTCTTAAAAGGTAATTATGCATTTTCTTTCACAAATTGTTTAGGCTGCAGCCTTTCTTGAGATTAAAAATAAAACAAATTAAAAAGAATTTTAGAATACAGTTTGTATATTTTTATGAAAGGTGGGCATTCATTTTCATCTGATGATGGTGATACTCTCACAGGATATACCATATATGGTTGAATCTAAAAACTGAAAAGCAACTAAAAGAGTTATGCTGAGTCACAAGATGGAACAGAATTCAGCTTACTCGTGAAACTGATAGCTGTCAGGTTTCAAATCACTACTTCATTTTAAAAACATTTTCTTAGAGTCAATGTTTCTAGCCAAATTCTGGTAAAGGAAGTTCATCATGCATCAATTCACCCCAGTACTCTTCATTTTTTCACATGCTTTTGTCCAATAAATCAGCTAACCAGCTGCCATCAATTTTAGCTAGATAAAATTATAAAATGCATACACTTTATTGAGAAATTGAATGAAAGTTGTTCACATCTTTTTAGACCGTTATCAAATTTCTAACTATATATTAAAATAAACTGCAGAATTGGCACACTATATGGTTTTGCTACTACTTCTTATCAAGACACCATGCTTTGGAAAAAAAACTGAGTTTTGTACAAGTTACCTTAAGAAACAAGATAATAAAATACTGCTGCTTAAGAATGATTAAATGTGCACGCATTTTACATACTTGGCCATAAAAATAGTAGCCCAAGAATAAAATATAGTATAGCCCAGCCCTCACAAGAAAAAAAAAAAACTTATCAGAAACTGCAGTGAATCATTCTCTTTCAAGTAAAGGATAAAAGGGTAAAGATCTAACTTCAATAACTGCTCACTATTGTGGTAGCTCTTGTTTTCACAATTCCAGATGGAAATAAGTCCTCCTTTACAAACTGATGTATTATACTACACATATACCTACCATATTAATTGTATTGAATCATGTCTTACCTGTAACAAGTACTTCCATATGGGCATTCAGGTCTGTCATCGCTGTCATCTTCACTTGCAACCTGTACATCATGATAATCACTGTCTCCAGGGTGACTGAACTGCTGAAAGTGAACTGGATTCTTCCTATGAAATTTAGGAATATACTGTAAGTAATAGTAAATGACATGGCATATACTATTTTGTGTGTATATGGAGAACGAGCAGCTAAAAATAAAATAAACATAATTTATTCAATAATGCATGGTTATTCATTTTTTTGTGGTTATCCGTGTACTATTATGTTGCATAAAATGTCAGTTATGAGTCATTTCTGGAGATAATTCATAACAAAAAATTTTAGCCTTCTGTTCTTGCATAAGAAACTCCATTATTAGGATGGATAAAAATCAATGATTTTTTCATTTAAAAAATCTGATTTTTTATTTAAATTAGGTTTTTTTATTTAATCATATTTTAATTTTTTTTAGGATTTGTTTTTTAAAAATACACCTATAGAAAGATAGTTTTAAATTTAAGAAAGCTCAAAGATATCATCGTGGAACAGGGATTATAACTTCTAATTGTATACTATTTGAGACAATATATTCATCTAACCTTTTTAGAAAAGTTTTATAAATAGGTCACAACAGGCCACGGACTATATTGGGGCCCAATTTTACGGGGCTCCCGGATGCTCCTCTATAGATTAGTAAAGATTAAAGAAAACCACTCTACTCAATGGGACTCAGTGCTCAGTCTAGAAGATCCCATTAAACATCTTTGTGATGCTCAGTTTCAGTTCTCAAACTGTGGATTTGTGTCTCCAGAGACAACATCCTTGTTAACAGCAGGATATAGAGATGAAAGATAATAGACCTGATTATTTACCCATCAGCCCTTTTATCTCTGCAAGTTTGTGTATACAGAGTCAAGCCCTTACCTCTCTCTAAAAATTGCAAAGTTTCAAAATGTTAAAAGAATAGAGGATTGTTGATGATGGAGTAGATCAGGGCAAGTAGGAGGAATCTGAAGATAAATGAAAGATGGGAGAAGCAGTAGAAACAAAAGAGAAACATTTTGAGCAGACTATTCCAGAAATCTTGAAGGATAAATTTCTGAGTATAGCCATTCCATTATCTGAGATCTAGTGAGGGAATGGTATGGTAGAAGGGAAAACCAATCATGGCATCAGGCTTACCAGGCCATAAAAAAAAAAAAAAAAAGAAGAAATCAATGATGAGAAGAAATCTAGAAGAAAGTGAAAAAAGCCTCAAGCTAACAACATATGCCTGCAGCACTCGTTTGATGTCTTCCTAATACAGCGTGGCAAAAATATCCCTTAACTATCCATGATTAATCTAATGAGTTGGAGATAGTTCACCTCCCAATGACTTTACAAGTATCTGCTTCAATTAGCTTTGGTAAATAAAATAATCAAATCATAATTAAGTTTTCTGATGTAGCTGCAAAATTAATCTGAAAAAATATCAAAGTAAGAAGTCATTGCTTTAAAATGTATAGTGCGTACCTTCTAAAAATGAAACCGACAATCTCCGAGTTGTGAATAATATGTATTACGGTTATATCAAACAACAACAATGCACTTTTTTTTTAGCAAGACCAGTGATTTAAAACTGATTTGATTAGAATCAAATCCACCCCGTTCATTATGCTTTCATCCAATTTAAAGCAGATTTCTCCACTGACTTCAAATGGTAATAGTACAGACACTGACTGATATATAAACACTCACCTGCCTTTTTCAGTACTTCTGTACAAAATAGAACAGTTCTATAGAAGAAACTAATACAGACAAGCTTGCCATATTAAAGTCACAACTCTCCAATTAAAAAGCAAAATGTCCCAAATTAGGTAGAGCTGAGCCATTTACTTTCCTGACATTCATAGAATTTCCTGGAAAATTAAAGCCATTGTATGGTGAAGAATCTCTATTAGATATCATCTTACAATGTACGCTGCTTATGTTAATGAAGTATTACATACAATATCTTATTAAGTTGTATTCAAACTCAATGAAAGACATTTCACCAAGTTTGTGTACAAACCATCAGACTGCATCTTCTTTGGTCTCCTTGGACAGATCATCAAAACAGACAACCTGCTCCAAAAAGAAGAGAGCCTGAACTTCAAACTTCAGAGCTATCATTCTTGGTTTATAATATGAAAGTGATTACATCCACAAACTGTAGTCTCATTCCAAACACTAAATACAGAGAAAGCACAGAACTACAAGCACAGAAAAAGAGACAACCTGAACAAACACCTTAACAAGACTTAGGATTCATAAACATCTAAGACAGAGGTTCTCAACCCCATTAGACTCCAGATGCCCCTCATTAAATGTCAGCTTTCACTTGTTTCTTGACTACAGAAAAATAGATCAATTATTTTGGGTGTAAACTGTCAGGGCCAGCTAACAACCCAAAGGGGAGGGGAGTTCAGGATGACTGGTTGCTCCTCAAGGGAGCAATCCTGGATGCGCAAGCAAAGTCTATCCAGTCTCAGAGGAAAGGCAGCAAAAGGGCAGAGCAGCCCCCCTTGGCTCTCCAGGGAACTAGCAGACCTCCCGCGTCTTAAAAGGAAGACCTATAAAGGATGGCGAACTGGAATTGCCAACAAGGAGGAATAGTCTGCACTGGTCCGGACCTGCAGAGAGCAAACCAGGAAAGCCAAGGCTGCAATGGAACTCCAACTAGCTACAAATATTAAGGACAATAAAAAGTCCTTTTTTAGACATGTGGGGAGCCAGAGGAAAAGCAAGGGCAACATTGGACCCCTGCTAAACCAGATGGGACATCTGACAACCTATGCCCATGAAAAAGCGAACTTGATAAATGGGTACTTTGCATCAGGTTTTCACCAGCCCCACTGGACACCCCTGCCCACTGTGGATCAGGGAGGCCCGGGTGAGGGAGATTCCTTACCCTCCTTCAAAGCTGACCTCATGAAGGAACACCTTGACAGGCTGGATACCTTCAAGTCAGCCGGCCCTGATGGTTTACACCCCAGGGTACTCAAGGAGCAGGCAAGCATCATAACTCAGCCCCTGGCACAGATCTTTGAGAACTCCTGGTGCTCTGGTGAAGTGCCCAAAGATTGGAAGAAGGCCAATGTGGTGCCTATCTTCAAGAAACGGAGGAAAGTAGATTTGGCAAACTACAGGCCCATCAGCCTGACCTCTATCCCAGGGAAGGTCTTGGAAAAGGTTATTGAAGAGGCCATCCTTAAACTAGCTGACGGCAATATCCTGAGGGATACCCAGCATGGGTTTGTTGCGGGTAGGTCTTGCTTGACCAATCTCATCTCCTTTTACGACAAGGTGACCTATCACTTGGACAAGGGGGATGAAATTAATGTCATATCTCTTTAAAAAAGCCTTCAATCTGGTATCCCATGATCACTTCTTGGCAAAACTGGCTAATTGCGGCCTCGACCTCACCACGATCTGCTGGCTGGGGAATTGGCTCCGCAGTAGGACCCAGAGGGTGGTAGTTGATGGAAGTCAATCATCGTGGTGCGCGGTGACCAGTGGGGTCCCTCAAGGCCTTGTCCTAGGGCCTATACTGTTTAACATTTTCATCAATGATGTAGACACTGGTATCAGAAGCGGGCTGGCCAAGTTTGCCAACAACGCCAAACTCTGTGGTAAAGCATCCACACCTCAGGACAAGAGGGTGATCCAGGCAGATCTCGACTGATCTGCCTGGATCTCCAGGCTCAGCAAATGGGTGGATGAGAACCTGATGGTGTTCAACACCGAAAAATGCAAGGTTCCCCACCTTGGGAGGAAAAACCTGCAGCATACTTATAGGCTCAGCGGTGCTACGCTGTTAGCACTACAGATGAAAAGGACTTGGGGGTTATGATTGACCACAAGATGAACATGAGCCTTCAATGTGATGCTGTGGCTAGTAAAATGAGCAAAACGCTGGCTTGCATCCATAAATGCTTCTCAAGCAAATCCCGAGACGTCATTCTCCCATTGTACTCGGCCTTGGTGAGGCGGCAGTTAGAGTACTGCATCCAGTTTTGGGCTCCACAATTCAAAAAGGATGTGGAGAAGCTTGAGAGAGTGCAGAGGAGAGCCACACCCATGATCAGAGGTCAGGAAAACAGACCTGATGATGAAAGGCTGAGAGCTATGGGACTCTTCAGCCTGGAAAAGTGCAGGCTTAGGGGCGATCTGGTGGCCACATATAAGTTTATCAGGGGTGTTCACCAAGATCTTGGGGAACATCTGTTCACCAGAGCGCCCCAAGGGATGACAAGATCGAATGGTCACAAACTTCACCACGACCGATTCAGCCTGGACATAAGGAAGAACTTCTTTACTATCCAAGCCCCCAAGGTTTGGAATAGACTGCCACCAGAGGCTGGTCAAGCACCCACTTCGAACGCCTTCAAGACACATTTGGATGTTTATCTTGCTGGGATCCTATGATCCCTGCTGACTTCCTGCCCCTGGACTCAATGATCGTCCAGCCCAAATGTCTATGAAATCTATGAATTCTTCTGTTGCAAAGAATTCAGGAAGACCACAACAGGTCAAAATATTTTTGACACTATGGATTCCTATTTGAAATCTCTGGGCTTCTCTTGTGAATTACACACAGGTGTTTGCACAACTAATATTGCGATACACCTGTGGCATCCTTAACTGGATCTTGTGGAACCCCATGGCACCAAAGCACCCTGGTTGAGAGTCAAGGATCTAAAACAACTCAGTATATAGATAAGCATTAAAGCCCCTATCAGCCTTAGTCTCTCCAATGCTGTGATAGTGAGAAGCCTGATTATTTCAGCTACTATTTCTGCACAAAGATATTGAGCTGACCTTATTTCCATCTTGAGACTGAAAATTATATGTAAATTTTCACCAGGTAAACTCCTATATTTGAAACCCAAAGCCAGAACTACTACCATCATGTTATACCTACACAACATCTTACTCGCAGCAATACCAAAGCAGGAGAGATTTTCAGGAAGCTTGCCTTCTTTAAAACTCATATGATGCACTATTATTTCCTCTGAAGTACATGCAATATAAATATTATCAATTTAAAAGTAAGTTTGTTAGCTGGTAATAAATACAATGCACAAATGTACACAGCTCTTTAGAAATAGCCGATAGGTATTACCATAATTTTGGTAGCTTTTCAGATTAACCCCTGAAAAGATGGGCTGGGGAGAAAGAAATAGAAAATTTAAGACGCTCCTTTTCTTTCAAAAAGATATCAGAGAAAGGAGAAACCTCCATTTGGCCCTTTGCCCAAGTAAAATATTGGTCAGTAAAGAAGAGAGTAATTAGAATGAAACATGCTCAAGAAATAAACAGGGCTCTCAAGACCTCCTGCAAACCATCTCATATACCTCCCCCCCCAAACCATTCTACTTATTAAAAACTGATGTTGCATCAAATATTGCCAAGAACACTTCATTCACAGTTATTTTCCCCAAATATGCATCCAAGCACAAGTGCATATCCAGTTCCCCAAGGACCCAGCAGTCTTTGGGATTAAAAAAAAAAAATAGGTCATATAACATTAGCTTCTCTAGCTGTAAGGCTGAACTCTTTTTTCTTTTTTTACATTCTTACAGTGTTCCTTAAAAAAAAAAAGTAAAGTTGCTGCTTCCAAGATTGAACAATAGCTACATGAAATTCATATCAACAAACCAAAAACTGTTATGCATTATTTTATAACTAAATACTGTTTATCTTGCAAAGGACATTGTCTGCTAGACATGAGTGACCAGAAAGAAAAAAAACCCTATTTTAGAGCAAAATGGGGCCAAGAAGACTAAAAATCCTACAAGAGTTGCTAATGAAATGCATAAATATTACTTGCTGAGGGATATTTACCAATAAAGGTTTTATGCATGACCCTCAGGGAAAAAACACACACACCAATAATGTATTACCGAGTCAAATGCCTAGGTTATACTCCCATTGTTCTTTCAGTGCTATCATCCATCATCCTATAAATTCCTGCCTCAGCCTCATCACATTGAACACAAAATGCAACTAAACCCTACCTCTTAGCATACATGGTTTTTAAGACAAGTTTACAGTCCTACTTTCATGCTCCATTCTGTTTTCATAGTGACATAAGATTTTATTTTATTCCAATACTGACTAGCTTCTCCTTATTTGCTCCAAACTGAAATGTGGCTTATGAACTCTAACCCTTTCTACTTCCTTCCAGCTCATGCACGCAAGTCCTGAACAATGCATCGTAATCTGAAGTTTAGCTGTGGCTAACTTTCTTCTGCCTCCTGAGTTCAAATATGACTAGTTAGAAAAATTAAATTTCAAGTCAAGTTTTCCAGAGAGTTAAATAAACCCCCATCACAAACAAGGCTCTGCCACAAACATGACAGTCTTTAACAACGTTTGCCTGAACAGCTACCTTGTTTCTGTACTTTTATTTTTAAATGAGAATATATTATTGGCGTATTGCTCAACCCCAGAGGACCACTGGACTTGTACCCTATCCTTTGACCTGTCCTATTTGGGAAAGTCTGTCTAGGGTTTCACACAAACATACCTAAAAGTTCACACACACATCTTTCAACTGCCTCCTGGTGCAACCCCCAGGGAAGACAAGAAACATGTGAAACTGTAGTGCTCTGTGGTAGCAGAGTTTGAAGAGAGGAGAACCAAAAAAAATAAAAATAAAAAAAATGCTGTTCAGCTTTGCAGGCTGGAAGCACTTCAAAATGTTGGCACAGATCATGCACTTCACAGGCCAAGCCAAGTCTGGGGTAAGCCATGAAAGGCTCCCTCATCAGAATTGCTGAAGAGGTTGAGAGAGATGGGGATGGCATGCAATTACTAACTTCTACAGTACTGAACCTTTATACTGTGAAACAGAAGAACTAATATACAAAAAACAAGGTTTGTTTTAGCTTAGTACTAAAGACTAAACACCAGGTTATACAAGAATAAAAATGTGCATAATTTAAAGTGCTGAACAGTTTGGGGAAAGCAGTTGTATATTTCCATAAACTCACAGAACATGTCATTGCTTGGGGCAGATTAGATAACCAGGTTCAAAAAAGGGACTGGATAAATTAATGGAAGATAGATCTATTATTGGTATTGAACAGAACGGTTGGAGAGGTTTCCTCTGGCATCTTTAAACCAATAACAGTGGATGACAGAGAGGATACTGAATAAGGGTTAGATCATTCTAGATACCTGGTTTAATGCTCTCCCTCTATAGCAAACATTTCTGCCAGTCAGAGACAAAATACTGGGCTAGACAGATCATTGGTCTGACCCAAATGGCATTTTTTGTGTTCATATGTTCCCTAAATGCAAATATTTAAAATATCACTGTCTTTAAAAAGCTTTATTTGTTAATAGAACAACCTTCTGTTGATCTTCCTCGTCACTTACATTTCTTCTCTCTACTGTAGTCACAGTTGTCTAGTTTTTCGGCAAACCCATCATTGCCTATTTCTTTAATGAACTATGTCTTGTAGTTTGTTGAAGTATTTAATCCCCAGCTTAGTTTATTATACTGCCTGTCAGTAAACTTCCTATGCTTCTAAAAAACACTGCTGTTATATTTGTTCTTTTCCAACAACCAGGACTAACATTTTAACCACTTCCTCTTTCATGGGGTAACAAGCAGATTCTTAGCAATTGTCTGAATCTAGCTTATTTACAGCTTTGCTTTACCTGTAACAACCTGTTCCATACATGCAAGGGACCCTCTTGTGCTGAGTTTGCTTAGAACTCTGCAGAGCATCTTTGCTTCCTGTTGAATCAGAAACTCCAATACCAGGATCTGAATTTACATCAAGCTCTGGAGTCTCATCCTGTGAAACCTGAGATTGGGATGACTTGTCCTGGTGAGCTGGTTGGCTTGCAGAAGGGATGATCTGTTCCATGTTTTCTATTTCATTGGTCTTTTTGGTCTTAGTACAGAGCTGGCCTTCTGCCACTAGCCTGTGGTCAGAAACTTGGCTATGGGTTTGCCAATCACTTTTTTCCATAGATCTTTCAGTCTTTTGTATCACAGACTTCTCATTCCCTTCTATTTTTTTCACAGCCATTGCAAATGGGGTTCCAGATGCACTCTGTGAAATGGAAGACAAAGGTCACAATCTTCAGACACTTTAATATTCAAAACAAAGAGAGCATAAAGACTAGATATGGCTATCTTTCACTCCATTCAAGATATAGTTTAATTCTTTTCATAAACTGAGGGAAACTAATGCTATTTTGAGCCTAAAAGGATCAAAAACTTAATACCAGCTTTAGAGATACTTGTGGCTTCTGTAGCAATAACATTTTCTTGGTGAAGTAATTAATTAATTGCAGAATGGCACTCAATCCAACTTTCCCTGTAAAGTATCAAGAAAGATGGTTATGCTATGTTCCAGAACAAAGCACAACATTTTTGAAATGGTGTTTCTCAGAAGAAATGCACTTTCTAGGACCTGCAGCTGTTGAATGAAAATGATGTCGCAGGTGCCCTCACATTTTCCAGACTTGGTGTTGTGGAACTGCTCAGTGAAACTGACACTCCAACATAAAAATGTATCATAAAATATCAAAAGTGGCACATAATCACAATATAGGATCAATCAAAGTTAAGCACTACTGTGCACATGCAGGTAAAGGTGCAGTTGGATCTAATGCACAATCCACAGGCCACCTGCCATGCCACACATGCATGGCAGGTAATGTGATTTTGGGACCATTCACTAGATCCAATTAGGTCTTACTGCTGGAGTAGGGAGAGCCTGAACCTGGGCTCCCCCTGCATTCGCAAGATGTAGCCTCCCATAGTCGGGAGCCTCCTTTGCTGATACAGATCCCAGCCAGAGGAGCCACGCAGAGCTCAGACCAAGAGTCCCATGCCTGATGGAGCTCTCGGTACTAGCTGTCCATGTGGTGCAAAAACCCTGTCAGCTGTGGGACTCTCAACCCCATAACTGTAATGCACTGCTGTGGTCTCATAGCTGTGGCAGTGCATGGAGCACCCTGCGGCTGGGAGATTGCAGCTGCTGCAATCTCCCAGCCACTGCCTGGAGTGCCTGAGTCCTGGTACCCCCATCGCTGGGGAACTGCATTGTGCATCTCCGTTACTGGGAGATCAGAGCAGCTGCAGTCTCCCAGCTGCAAGACTACCTACATATACAACATAAAGATAGATAGAAACCAGCTATAAAGTTATTACATGTTTTTGAGCAATAACTTTATAGCTGGTTGGAGCTTTAAGGCACAACAGTTAATTTGCCCGTGTAGCCAGTTTAAATTTACTGTACAAGTGACAAGGTAATTGCATAATAGATATGGGGGGAAGGGATGATGAGGGCGGGGGAAGCCGTGGGCCACCAAACCATGCGGCACCCACAAGGACAGCCCAGCCTGAAGAAGGAGAACATCAGGAACCTGCAATCCATGGGGCGGCCAGCAGTACACCACAGGTAAGCAATAAGGGGCCCTTTGGGCATCAGAGCCAGGGGACAACAAAGGCGCCAGTCACAGGGCTCAAGTGCCTATACACTAATGCTAGAAGCATGTGAAGCAAGCAGGATGAAATAGCACTCCTGCTTGCAGAAAACACCTACGACTTAGTAGGGCTAACAGAAACCTTGTGGGATTCTTCCTACAACTGGGCAGTGCACATTGAGGGTTATAAGCTGTACAGAAAGGATAGAGTGGGGAAGAGAGGGGGAGGGGTTGTGCTCTACATCGATGAACGCTATACATCGACCCTTATCAAAACGGAAATCGGAGGAGGAGAAAGTAGAAGGATTGTGGGTTAGGTTACATGGAGGTCAAGGAGAAAGATTTGGTGGTAGGGGTCTGCTACAGATCCCCACACCAAGGGGAAGAACTAGATTTGGGGCTCCTGAGGCAGCTCTTGGAGATCATAAATACTAGGGAGGCAGTACTCATGGGGGACCTAAACTACCCAGACATCTGCGGGGAGACGCAGACAGCAAAGTCCCACCGTTCACGCAGGCTTCTATCCTGTGTACAGGACCTCCACCTGACACAGGAGGTACACGGTCCCACTAGGGGGAATGCCTTACTAGACCTGGTATTGGCAACGGGGGATGACATGGTAGGAGACCTACAGATCGGTGGTCACCTGGGGAACAGTGATCACCAAATAATAGAATTCATCATAAGACATCGAGTGGGTAAGGTAACTAGTAGGGTGAAAGTACTAGACTTTAGGAAAGCTGATTTCAATGAACTCCGGCGTTTAGTCAAAGATGCACTGCAGAGTAAGAATTTTGAAGAGATGGGAGCCCAGGAAGGGTGGCTGTGCCTTAAGGAAATGATCCTTTGGGCACAGA